AGGCCAGAGCCCCACACTGAAATATGTGTAGGTGTTTGGGTGATGCAGGTCTCTCGGGGGCGTCCTTGGGAGGCTCCGTGGCAATTTCGAACCGCATTGGGGCCGTTTTGGGGGACTCTTTGATGCATGCTGGAAGCCGCCTTGGAGGCCATCTTGGGCTGTTCGAGGCCCTTTGGGAGCCATCTTCGGGCATCTTGACAGGCTGCTGTGAGTCGCGCCCTCGTCTGTCCAGGCCCAGGGGAGGCGGTGGGGCTGCCATCCCTGACATCGCTCGGACGTGTGCATTTTTTCTCGGCGAGGGCCGTCGAGGAGCATCCTTGATCACTTCGCGAAAAAACCACGCACGCTATGAGTCGCGCCCTCGTCTGTCCGTTCCCAGGGGGAGGCGGTAGGGCAACCGTCGGGAACCGATGCAGACGCCGGCCAGGCGTGCAGCACCCGCGGGGTGCCGCACGTGCCGGGCGCGCCGCGCGCGCGAGGCGCGCCGCGCTGGGCAGAATGTCGACCCCCCTCCCCTGTCAAAGAACAGTTCAACATGAAGGCGGTTTTGCGAGCATTCTATATATATATATATATTATGTCTATACATGTGTACATATTGTATACGCATATTTATATATATATATATAATGTACATACACAGCTATATGTCTATATTTTGTGGGCGTGCACACGCAATCGCTTCGCACTTGCTTTTGACAGGGACGGCGGGCCTGCACACAGCCTTGGCCTGCCACACGCTCCTGCCGCCCCCGGCAGAGTACTGTGCCTGCTGCACGTTCTATACTGGAGGGGATGGTAGACCTGCGCGCGCAGCAGGCGATATGCATATGCCTGCCCTCCCGCCGTCGTTGTGTAGGTTAGTTGCTATGCCTGCTGCATAGGGGCGACGTGCTCACGCTTCGTCTCCCTCCCCCCCGATTCTAAAGCGAGCTGAGGGACGTAAGGAGTGGAAGCGAGCGTGCGCCCGCGGCCGCGTCGGCTCAAGCGGCCGGCCGCCCAAATTTGACAGTGCCCCACTGCGAGGCACACAATCGCTATCGAGACCTTCAGGCAACATGCATATGCCGGCCCTCCCGCCGTCCTTGACCAGAGCAGATGCGACTGCATCGCGGGGCGTCTGCGCGAGATCCAGAGTTCAGTGCCGAGTGCGCTCTGCAGTTTTTTTTGGAGGGTGTGTTTCGGGGGGGTCGTCACGGCACACCGCAGGCAGTATGCCGGCCGATCCAGACGTTGGTGCAAAGGTAACTTGTTATTGTTTTTGTTGAAGGGGTGGTGGGGGGGTGCCCGCATCATCCCCGTGTTTATCGCTGGTCGGGGGGGGGGTACATCTAGTAAGGAGCAGAGATAGACCCTCCCCCCGAAATGGGAGAAGTGGGGTAGAATAGTTGTGATCCTAAACCACCGCCCCAGATGGGCTTGTGGGATTTGGTTGTGTGTGTGCGCGTGTGTTTCGGTCGGGGAGAATATCACGTTTGAACACCGTTAAACGGCACATTGAGCTTCTCATATGATTCATCTCGTCGTCCCCGGCCTCCTCGGCCACGGCGGAAGAGCCGGGCTGGGAGGTTTCATGGCGCTGCTCCCTGGCGCCGGAGGGTTCATGCCGCCGCCGCCCAAGCCAGCAGGCGTCGTCGCGGCGGCGCCGACGCGGCGCAGGGCGCGGTCGTACCCGTCCATGGCCAGAGTGGGCCTGCGCCTGCTGGCGCTCGAGGCATTGCCGTCCGCTCGCTGGCTCTGATGATAGGGCTCCAGCAGGCGCACCGGGGCCTGGGCCGGCGCCCAGCATCTTTGGCGCGGGCGCGCTGCTGCCGCCTGCGGGCGGAGACGGAGGCTGCAGGTGCAGGTGCGGCTGGGGTTGCGACGGCAATGCGTGTGGGGCCCATGGCGCCGTGGGGCGGTGCGGGCGCGTTCCCGCTCGGCCTGGGCTTCCCTGCGCCTGGAGGAGCCGGTCTGCTTGGCCCGGTCTTGGGCTTTGGATTTGTTTGCCGCTGGTGCCGCACGCTCTGAACGCGATGGCCGTCATGGTGCTAGGGTTTCGTATTGAGGTGGAGGTTGTGATGCACGACGCCATGTGTCAGCCTTTGGGTTCGGCAATGCTCAAGGTGAGCGGCGCCCGCCCTGCTGACACAGCTGGCCAGTTCGTGGAGTGCGGGGTGGAGATCTGCGGCGACCCCGACTACCTGTCGCTCTTGCAGGGCGTGTTCTCCATGGGCGGTGCACCTCTGCCTGCAGACTGCGGGGTTGTGCTGCCGGATGACCGCCCGGCAATGGCGCAACGTCGTACGCTACAGTCGGCCCGGATTAGTAGGTCAACCCTGCCAGCTCAAGGGTACCCTTGTGTCCTGAGCCTCGCGACGCGTGCCCCTTTGTACACTCCTATGGCGACGTGGCTCTCGGAGGGGTCTTGTGTCCTCTCGCGTGTCCTCTCCAGTCAAGTCCGACTGTAGGACACAGTGCCGCTGCTGGGACCCGGAGGCGGCGGAGTCTCCGCCGGCCACGAGCTTCGAGGACGGCCTCCTCCTCCTCCTCCTCCTCCTCCTCCTCCTCCTCCTCCTCCTCCTCCTCCTCCTCCTCCTCCTCCTCCTCCTCCTCCTCCTCCTCCCCCTCCTCCTGGCGCCAGCCGTTGGTGCGAGCGCTGCTGGGGCCAGTGATGTGGCGGCGCCTGCCGCCCCCACATGCAGGGAAGGCCTCCGCGAGCGCCCACCTCGGCCGAGCTGCAGCGGGCGCCCGCGGTGGCGGCAGCGACGGCACTGCGGGGTCCGATGCGGACATCCCCGAGGTGGCCCTCGTCCTCGCCCTCCTCCACCTCCACCTCCTCCACCTCCTCCACATCCACCTCCTCCTCCTCCTCCTCCTCCTCCTCCTCCTCCTCCTCCCCCTCCTCTTCGCCCTCCTCCTGCAAAGGCCGCGGCGCGGGTCCGGCGCCGGCGAGTGAGAGTGTGAAGCGGAGGGAGGCCCTGGGCGAGTCGCTGGCCGAGAGGGGCGGGGCCGCCCTGGAAGACGAGCGTCAGCGCTGGCGTGGAGGCGAGAGCCGAGATGTGAGTAGACAGCGGCTCAGGCGAACCGAGTTTTTGTTGGAGGCTCCGACCGCTGGTTCCAGTCGTCTGGTGCAGCGTTGGGTCCGCCCCGGCTCTGACCCAGGAGCCTGGCTCGCCGCTGGTCTGCGGCAGATCCGCGAGCACTCGTTGCGGAGGGGCGGGGCCGCCCAAGGAGATGATCTGGAGCCGTCGAGTGCGAATGTGGCGCAGTGCGTCGCGAGCGCACGGCACGGTACGCACTCGCAGGACGAGACGGGCGTGCGCAAACGTGAGGGAGATGCCCGCCTCGCCTGGGCGGCCGCCTCGTGCAGAGGCTGGAGGCCATCGAGCAGGCAGCCAGGGACGGGCGCTCGCAGGCGGCCCAGCACCTGAGGCGGGTCGACTCGGCCAGCATCGGGCTGGCGAGCGGCTCGGAGGTTGCTCAGGAGGGAAACAAACACACAGACACAATTCATCGTCGATTCCCCAGGAAATATTGGAAAATATGGGAAGTGAGGGGGAAGACAAATACCCAGAAAATATGGGAACATATGGGAATCTTTTTTTTTGTGTATGTATTTGTGTGTGCCCCAGGGCCCCTTCAATCGGGCTTGCGAGCGGCTCGGAGGTTGCGTCGGCGGTGGCCGCCCGCTCCGAGGGTGCCGGTTGCGAGGGAGCGCCGCAGCTGTGCAGGTGGCAACTCGCGGCCCCCCTGGGGGCGCGGCGCAGGTGGCAACTCGCGGCCCCCCTGGGGGCGCGGCGATGGCGGGCGGCGGGCGCGCCGGGGCGCCAGTTCCCGCGTTGCCGCCCCCGTCAGCGGCCAGAGCCTGGACTTGTGATGCTCTGACCTTACCAGCCTCGAGCATATCCCTATCCCTAAGATTGACACGCCAAAGGGAGATGGCAATCTCAGGGATACACCCTCAGAAACTTGGGAAATCCCTAAGATTGGCATCGTGATGAGGCGATGCCCAACATAGGGATAGAGATATGTTCCAGGCTGGTAATAACCTGCTTTAGCCTCGATTGCTAAAACAGTGTCGGGCACCACATAGGCACCGAAACTCGAGGCTTTGCACGCGTCGGGCCCTGGGAGACACTCGTCCGACACTGTATCGACACTGTTTCGACACTGTTCCAGGTGCTTGAAATTATTGATGGGATGTGGTCGGTAAGCAGGATGGGAACAACATGCGCCTGGACCAGGTAAAGGGAATGGCAAGATGCAGTGGTCCCCCTTCTTCCTTTCCCGTCCCGCATCCTGCCTGCTTGTCGCCTCAATGTTAAGCAGATGTGCGCGCGAAGCCCGCAGCAGCTTTGCCAGCCGATGCGCCGTACGGGCGCCTGGCATGCGTGACCTAACGTGTACCCCTCGTCGTGATCGTCGTCGTCCTCTTTCTCTTCCTAGCCATCTTCCCCCTCACTTTCTGGTGTCACGCCGTCTTAGCTGCACGTCGCCAAACAAATCAGGGGACTTAGGCTTGCTTCGTCGGGTTGCGCTGTCGTTGAAATTTGTGAACCATCAGCCATTTATGAAGTCCATATGGTCTCGGTGAGTGAGCAGGCTTGACGAAACATTGCGTTACGCAGGCGTTCGCTATCCAACCGCACGCAGGACAATGACCAGAATGCGTCGCCGCATGCATTCGGCCCACGCGCCTGGCCCCGCTGCGGTGTCGGAGAATGCGCTGCCCTTGCAGTTCCCGAGTTGCCCTCTCAACGACAAGCATCCTCACCGCATGTCTGGTCCAGTCCAACCCTCCGCTGCCCCCCTCCCCCTTTCCTCTGGATCTATCCTTAAGTCGGGCGTGTCCTTCTACAGGAAGAATCTCCCAAAACAGTCAAACATAGTCCGATGACGGTTTAAAAATCAGTTGTTCGCGTTGCTGGGAATATGTTTTGTAGTATTCTTAAGTTTCGCCCAAAACCCTCCTGTAGGGGGACAGGCCCGACCGAAAGCCATCCAGGCGCGGGAGGGCGATGGCCGGGCGGCCGCCCTTCCAGTCCAGAGACCGCGCCGGAGACTGGACCTGCCCGGGGTGCAGCTTCCTGGTGTTCGGGACCCGGGACAGGCCCGCCGCCCCCGCAGGGAGAGAGCCAGGGGCGACGCACGGGAGGGGGTGGAGGAATGTGATGTTCCAACCCACTGCAGTTTTGATCGCCAGAAAGAATTTCAAGCACCAGAAACGTACCGGAACTCGAGGTTTTCCACGCGTCGGGCCCTTGGAGACACTCGTGGTTATTTCTGGGATGTGGTCCTTAAGTACGATGTGAGCAGCATAAGTAGAGGAACGGACGGGGGGGAATGGGAAGAGCGGGGCGGAGAGGAGAGGGGGGAGGGCAAACTACCTACACTCGCGCCGCGTCCGAGATCCACCCCCTTACACCCATTCGTTAGTTGTCATTGTGGCGATTTGCCATTTTACGGCCGACGGGTGTCATAGCGGACCTGGGACCCCCACAATGACCTATCGTGCTATGCGCAATAAGACAGGGGAGCTGAGATGATTGGAGGAAGAGGATGAGCAGCAGCAGCAACAGCAAAAGGACGAGGATGAGGAGGAAAAGGACGAGGGGGAGGAAAAACGAGGAACCGCAGAAGCAGCAGGACCAGGACCAGGAGGAGGCGGAGGAGCTGGAGGTCCAGGGGACGGAGGAGGAGAGTAAGTTATGGAGGGGACGACAAGAAGGCGAGGCAGAAGTCGGATCTAGACCTGCGAAGCGTGCCAGAGCGAGACTGCCACCTCTAAACGACGGGGGCACAGCGCTGACCCACTGAAGTGACGCCATCCCTGCATCGGGCGCACCGCGTGGAGCAATCGGACAGCTACAATGCTTGAAATCCGACGCGTGGCAAATATCGTGCGGGAAAGAGAGACAGAGAGAGAGAGAGAGAGAGCGCGGGAGGCCAGCTCGGACATCATCCGGGGAGTTGGGAGCGCAGCATTCGTATTGAGTTCAGTGCGGATGGGAGGGACGGGAGGGCGCGGAGGCGGGAGGGACGGACAGGACGAGACGATGGCAGGAGGCGAGGGGGAATGGCCGAACTGAGGAGGACAGCCAGACGGGAACAGGCAGCCGGGCGCGACCCGAATCGGTTTCGTGATTTGCGATGTTGGGGCGGCGGGCGGGCGGAGCGTGCCAGAGGTGCCACCCTAAGGTGTTTCTCACATGTGTTCCTCACATGCGTTCCTCACATGCGTCCCATAGGCGCTGGATTAATTGTCCCTCAGCAGTGGTCGCCACTCTCACTGGGGCCCCCTTCCATGCATCGTCTCTCCTCCCCCTCGCTGCGCTCTCCTCATCTCCCCTTCCCTCCACACATTTCCCTCCCACCGATTGGCTTCCCCCGACTCCACCCCCATCGTTGATTCTCTCCTCGCGCTTTGGCATCCTCTCGCTGATTGCCCCATATCCGTTAACCCGAACATCGTGATACCTGCAGGACCACCAGGGCAGAGATCTCGCCTCATCATCGTGTTATTTGCTATTCCTCCGCGTGCTCCTCATGTCCCTGGTCCTTCTCCTCTTCTCCCTGTGTGCTTATAAGTATTCCTCTGGGTCTGCGCTAACTGATCATGCATCGTAGTAAGAGTGGTAGGGGAGATAAAACTCGGCAGTTGATGGGGGTGAAGGGATATATACACAGATGCATGGATGTATGTAGGTATGTGTAAATGTACGTATGGGATTTTCTCGTTTGTTTTCGTTCAAAAGGTTTTGTCTTGGAGTGTTCCAGGGTCGCCCGGCCGGTGCTGGGGGGCATTGTTGCGGTAAGAGCGAAGGCCTGCGCGTCAAGACATTGGCAACATGCTGATGTTATTCGGCCCGTTTTACATGAGACATCGTCGCAAGTCTGCGTTCTGAAACGACCAGAGTTGACATGGTCTGGCCCGTTTCGCTTGACACCTTCTCGCAACTCTGGGCTCCGAGACACTACCCGAGAAGTGGTCCGGCCTATATCGTTTGAAACATCCTTAAATTTCTTGGTTCGGGGATACCGTGACCTGAGGTTGCCTGGTCCGTTTCGCTTGAGACATCGTCGCTACGTTAGGTTTACGTTTCCGCCCGCGAGGTGATTTGGTCAGTTTGGCCTCAGATGTCCCCTCAATTCTTGGCAAAGAGATGCCGTGTTCAAGGGGGTCCAGCCAGTTTCGCATGAGACGTCCCCGCAATTCCGAGCAACCGTTGAGGAGATTGAAGCGACGAAGGAGTGGAAGGAGCAGGAGGAGGAGGAGGAGGAGCAGGATGACTGAGGGAGGGCGAGTGGGAGGAAGGATAAGGCTCGTACTGCTGTCAGACAAGTACTATTGTTTTCAATGCTCTCGGGACACTTCTCTTCGCCAGGGCTGGACGCGGCTCGATCGTGCCTGGTGGTGCGGGCTGGTGTCCTGCCGACGTAGGGTGTGTCACGGGCCCGTTCGCGCCCAGATTGTGGGGATGTGTCGAACGGTCCGCTTGTTTTGCGGGGTGGAGTCATGTTTCGGCTCTCGCTGGCCACCTCGGTTGGCATTTGGGGCTGTCTTGGGCCCCATCCAGGGATACTTGGCATCGTTCGGACGTGTGCATTTTTTCTTCGGCGAGGACCATCGAGGAGCATCCTTGATCATTTGGCGAAAAAACCACGCACGAAACCGAACAAAAGCACAGGGCATGGACGTCCGAGCGATGGCCAGTCTTGGGCCCCATCCAGGGATTGCCTTGGCCGGCGGGGGGGGCGGTGCACCCGAGCCCGGGTGCCCAGGTCGGCCGGGACAGCTCCGGGCGACCCCGGCAGCCCCAGCGGTGCTGCAGTGGAGGTGCCAGGGAGGGGTTGCACTGAAAGAGCTGGATGCGCCCCATGGCCCACAGAGAGCCATCCTCGGAACCTCGGGCTCTGAGATGCCCTGACGTGATGTGCTCTGGCACGTTCCGCTTGAGACGTCCCTCACGACTCTGGACTCCAAGATGTGCTTCGCGAGGCACTCAGGGCCGTTTTGCCTGAGACATCCTCGGAACCCTAGCCTTCGAGGTGCCCTGGATTAAGGTGCTCTGGACCGTTTCTCACAACTCTTGGTTCCAAGATATGGTTCGCGAGGTATTTCGGTACGTTTCGCCTGAGCAAAACATTGTGCGCTGAATTCTGGGCTTCATTATTGTAGCTGCAGCTTCTCCAGGCTTCTCGGTCCTGGCCGGCGATGACTGGGCAGGTCAATGCAGGGAAGATGGGTGCAACACGCACACACACACACACGCACACGAGAAAAGGATTTGAGGACAAGAGAGCGCCAAGGCAAAACATACACACATACACCTTATTATCATATTGCGTCTCTCGCCCAAGCCCCTGATCATCCATGCCACTGCTGATGCTCCTCGTCAGGGAGCATCTCTCCCCTCGCCGTAGAGGCGTTCGGGCTTATCTCACCGAGCGCGTTCCGCTACTCGCGAAACGTCTACTCGCAAACGTCAGAACAAAACACATGTCTGCTTCGATATGATTTATCGTAGATCCCCCGCGGCGGATCAAGGCCATCTGCGAGTAGTTATTTTGCGAGTAGTGGAACGCGCTCGTCTACTGTCCCATCTGGCAGCCCAACCTGGGATCGATGCCTCACTGCCCCAGTCCAGGATATCCAGACAGCCCCAACGCCAACGCTGCTCATCCGAGGCCGCACCGTCTCTGGCAGCATAAATTCTGCACGATTCGCGTTTCCCTATCAGCCTATGCACAAGTCGGGCGTGTCCCTTTACAGGAGGAATATTCAACAAAAATAAAAAAAACAACGATCTCTCGACTACGTCTAACAACTGTTTCTCATATATCTTGACTCTTTTTTCAGTTTTCGTCCAACATCCGCCTGTAGGAGGACATGCCAGACCTAAGCCTATCCGGAGGCGAGCTCAAGTGAGGGTCGCCAGCCAATGGAGCGCAGGGCCATAATTCAATTCTAAGGAGGTGTGTGTGTGTGCGCGTGTTACAGGGTAGTTTAGCGTTGCTCGGCATTGTTTATCGCTGCTTTGCGCAATCTAGCTCGGTATCGTCTTGCTTAGCGTGGCGCTAGCTTGGCGTAGCGGAGCTTAGTGGCTCAGAATGCCGTCGCTCATTTTCTTTGATTCGCGTCCACTCTACTGAAGTGCGGCTTAGTTTCAGCACCAGATTGGATTCCTAGGAATATCACTTATATGTTTTATGTAAGCATACTGGTGCCATTGTACTGATCTTTTTTAGGGGAATCTTGGAAGCCTTTGGGGCTCTCTTGGGGCAATGCTTGAAGCAGTCGGCCATCAAGGCGAGGTTTTGATTTATGACGCACCTCCCGTGGAACCTGGCAGCTTGCCTTCGGAGGCCCCACTACGACTCTTGTGGGGTGCCCAGGAGAGCCTTTGGGCCTTTGCTATTGGACCATTTCGGGGCCATTTGGAAGCCTTCGAGGCCCATCGGAAGGCGAAAGGGCGAGAAGGCGAGATCAGTGAAAAACCGTCCATCTGTTTGATGGTTTCGGGGCGCTCGGGGGCATCGTCGGGATGTTCGAGGGCCACCTGAGAATCGTCTTGGTTCTCTTTTAGGGGCTTCGTGGGGCCACGTGGGAGGCTGTCTGGGCTATTATGCGCCGTCTTTGAGATGCCATCCAGGGGTTTCGTATCGAGGACGCCGGCTGCGCATCATCGGCCGCTCCCTGGGAGTTTGGCAAATTGTGGCGCAGTATCGAGAGTCGCGACGACGCGGCGCGCATGCCAGCAACGGTAGGTTCGCGTCGTGTCGACCGCCGGCGACCCCGCTTCTGGCGTTCAACGCTGAACGCTGGCGGCGGCCCAGAATAGGTAGATGTGGAACGATCTGACAGATCGTTCAAGCCGGCACGACACGAACCCGCCGTACGTAGTTGTTTTCGGCCAAGCCCGCCACCATGCCTTGGTCGTGGAGCAGACGCGTCTTTGGGAAGTTTTCTGCAGTCTCTCGGGATGCCTCTTGGAGACATTTTTGAGGCCTCCTGGGTCCTCTCAGGGCTCCTGGTGGGGCGTCGGGGATGCCTCTCGGGGCTAAGGCTCCGAAGGTCCTCTGTGTTTCTGGGGCCCTCTGTAGGGTCAA